AATCTCAACATTACCATCTATTGTGTGCTTAAATGTTTTCAGAAACCTATCATCAAAATAAAAGTTGCATATACTTCATTTTGTTGTTAATTTTAGATCAAATTGTGGTATGTGATGATTCCATAGATTTACTTGACTAATCTTTGGCTTAAAAAATGTCATTTTTCAGGTTTTTCATTACCTTTTTATACAGTGTAGCCTGACTTGCAACCAGGTATTGTACAAAACATCTTTGGCATTATTCTCAATTTAACTAAAATAAAATATGGATTTACACTATTTGTAGTTTCACATAGAAATATTGTACTTAACCTAGTAATCTGTATCTCTTAGTTAAATTACTGTGAAAAATCCAGCAATGAGTTACTTAATTTCCCAGCAACATTTATTAATAAAACTGTGTGTATGGTGCCATCTGTTATGATATTTTAATAATTAAAAATATAAAAAGTTTTTAATATTATAAAATGGCAAAAAGCTTAATTATGAAGGTAGGAATGGGTTTTATAAAAAAATTGTAATGCTAATAACAAGTAAAATCATCATTAAGTCTGACCTTACTCGAGTTATAATACATGACCTCCCTTTATTGTCCCTCAACCATCAATCACCAAAATTTAATAGCATCAGTCCCCTAATAAACCTCCCTCTCTGCCAAATTTCAGAAAATTTTTGACAAAAAGCACAAGAGTTATTAAGCTTCAAAAAAGGTGAACAAAATTGTGCTCCTCACACACACACACCCAAACATAGAAAAAACCCCAAAATTTTGTTTGCATTTCTTGACATTTCAAGGGTACATATTTATAAACATAGTTTGCAGCTTTGTATCAAGTTTACTCAGTGTTTTTGAGTAGTTGTATTTCATGTTTATAAAATTACTTAACAGAGTGATAAATAATATCTAATAGATGAAAACAGAAAAAGGTTAAAATGTTTTTATAAAAAAAGAATAATAATAATAATTTGCAGATCATGGTCACCCACCAAGACCCAATATATTGTCATTGGTTTGTGACTTCTCCTGGGTTATTGTCTGGAAGTTCTTGAGCAGGATTATATGAAATGCTACACATTCTAGAACATTCTAAAAGTTTCTATTAGGATTAGAAGAGTTGACTTGTTCTGTCTATTATATACTTTCACCATTGAAATATAGAGCACATATGATGATAAAATGTGCTCTCTTTCATTATCATATATGAAAATAGAGGAATAGTTATTAGTGGTTTTAAGCATGATCTATAAATAATCATGGTCATGCCACTATGTTGTAAAATCAGTAATATACCATTTTCTGCCAGTTGATGGTGTTTGATTGAATTTAGCCCATTTTTCTCCTATCATGCTTTATTAAAAAAGGATTGCATCTGTTTTTCCAGAACAGCAAAAAGAATTATTAATTACAAGACTTTATGAATTATTTTTGTGATTATTTGCTATTATTTTATTTTGCAGAATAAATGTCAAAACAAAAAAAATTATTAAAAAAATAAAAAAATGGCAAAAACTTAACAATGATTAAACAAAATAACAAAATATTATTATGCAGTCAGTGGCATGCTCCATTGATACAAGTGTCAATTAACATGAAAACAGCAGACAAATAATTATCATTTTTAAACAAAGTAAAAACNTTTGAAGCATCTCTGGAACTCTTCAACCTTGATATCGTCCCTTAGCAAAGCTGTTTTTATCGCCTCCACATCATCAAAATGCTTCCCTTTTAGATTTTTCTTCATTCTTGGAAACAGAAAAAAGTTGCATGGGGCTAGATCTGGTGAATACAGAGGGTGGAGAACGACAGGCCATCCCTGAGAGACCAAGTAGTGGGTTACTGCCAAAGTTCTGGGCGTTTCCTTTGCTCATCCTCTCGCAGATGTCTTAACACTTTTTTGGCAGATCGTTTCAAGATGTTGAAGGACGCCCAGAACTTTGCAGGAGGAACAAAATAACAGTAAGAGAAACACAACACTACGCTCAAATGTAAACATACAAACTGATGCTGTTTGCACAGCTGTTTTGTGAAGGTCTCTACTAACCCCATGTAATGGGAGAACTCTCTACTATGTCTATGAATTGCAGCGTGCTCTCAATACGGTTTTTTTTTTTTGGGTCCCCCTTGTAATTTAAAAGTATATTCTTCATGACTTCCATATTTAAATCTTTTTCTCATCTCCAGAAATTCATTGTTCCAATCAGTGGCAAATATTTTTTCATCAGCAGAAAAGTTCCACATGTTAAAATATGTTCACAATTTGTAAAACCAGAAAAATTTTTAGCAAGGACTTCACTGCTAACTCAATATTTGTTGGATTTTCTGCTTTTTGTCAGCAATTTGCCCTCTATGAACTAAACTTAAGATATGAAAGTTATTTTAAAATCAAAAAAATTAAATGTGACAGTAATTATACTATTTTTGTTGTTTCATAAACAAAACAGAATGAAGTGATATCATTAAAAAAAAGTTCTTCTGCAGCAAGTTTGGAAATTACAGTTGAATGTAAAATTGGTTTTGATATAAACAACTTCAAATTAAATGGAGTATCCCCAAAAAAACATTTGAAGGCTTATAGGAATCAGAAATATGTATGGTTGAAATGCCTTTCTAGAACGTTTGTTCGTCTCAGCTTCAGATCCTCATTTGGAGCTGAGACAAAAAAACAATGTTTAATCTCAATTAATAACCTCTCAAACTTAAAGCTGGTTTTTATGTTAGATTAAACACACTGATAAATTTTATATTATTTTAAATTAACTTGATATAATATGCAGGGTCCATACAGAACTGGAAAGTCAGGGAATAAGATTTTTAACAGAAAAAGTTGGAAATCCGTCTGTCACACTTGCTCCTTTTTGATCCAAACATGTCTTTAAATTTGGTTTGGTATAGGGAGAAACTGGAGTGACCAAACAAATGACAAGATTTGTCACGTTTATATCTCGTAAACTATAAATAATGATCTAACGATTTAAATTTTGTTGGATAGGAGGTTTACGTCCATATTTAAAATGGTGGGTAGTGGGAATGTGCAGCTATGTGGGGAGGGATAGCGGTTGTGTGTGAATACCAAAAATGGCGATGCAGTGTGGTGTTTGGGCAGCACACTAAAAATAAAAAAGTAATTACCATAATTTCAGGGGATAATGTGCAAGTTATCTGTGTTTGAAAGGGGATGCAGGTTATATGCCAATTTTAAATTCCAGTCAAAGATAAAGGCTGATCCACAATATATGACTAGTCACTGGCAGTTAACTGATCAACTAGATTGACAGTTATCTACCTATTCATATATCATCTGCTTTTTTTTCATTAATAAAAACATGCCAGCCAGTTTTTTTCATTTTACAAAAGATTATGTTCCATTTTGTTTTAGATAGATTTTTACTATATCAAAAATTAATATACTCATTTTTAATATAGGAACAATACTAATAGTTTTTAAACTTTTTTATTTAAAATAAACATACAAATCATTTAATATATCTTCACTGAAGTTTGTAGAGTTCTTGGTTGAGGCACTGGCAGTTTTAAACAAGTTCAAGAGCCTTTTTTTGGTAATGCAGAATGGTCTTGTCAAAGATTTGTCAAACAATCCATTTCTAAAGACTAGATTCTAAGTAATAGACTGGTCTCTGCTACTGTGAATTCTTATAGCCATGCCAAGATTTGTGAAATGAGTTGTACTGTACATTTTTTAGATTTTATTAGCTTTGTTGCAGTTCAATCAAATTGTATTGAAATATTTCTCACTATTACTATCTACAAATAATTATTTAATTGCTACTTTCCATCAATATGAAAAATAATGATTAATAGGGCCTATATGATTATTTTCAGTTAATACCTGTTATATAAAATTAATATAAATGTTAGCTAAACATGCAATGTTAGTTTCCATTGAAAATTTGTATTTCGTGACTCTGTTTTAAATGAAAATAAGAAAATAGATAATATTACAGGTATTGTGGAATACATAATGTAGAGCCTACAGTACTGTACATATGATTGTTATTCACAGTAATTTTGTCTATTCATGTTGTTAGTTTATGGAAAGAATTTATAATGCTAAATAATCATATTTATTAATTGTACTATATTTTATAATGATCATTGGCTGTTTTTAAATAATCATTGCAAATGATTAATTTACTAGACTCTGTGAATGGAGTTCAGATTTTATTGAATTTTAACAGTAATGACTAGTGCTTACAAAAGAAAATATCATTTCGGTAATATTTTAAATAAGTCATTTTTAGTTATGAAAAGTAAATTTTAAATACTATAATAATTGCAAACAGCATAATACCATATTTACTCGGATATAAGATGATATCATATAGGATGAGGTGTGACTTTAAAAATCAAAAGAAAGAAAATTAGATTTATTAATACAATTCTAATTTTATTTCGTTTAACCACAAATAAAATGTCAAATGCATGTAAATGCACACATTTTTCCACAAAAATTACTGGCATTTTAAACTTCAAGTAAAAATCTTGTAAAATCGACAACATAATTTGTTCATGTAAAGCTGGACAATTATTGGGAACCTTGTTTGTCAATTCTTAACAGTCAAATTCACTCTGTCGATTACACTTATGAGTTTCTTCAAATTCTGATTTCCAAATAATCATCTGTTTTTATGTGGGAATGAATTAAAACTTATATTGGGCTCACGTGTAATTTTGGAATTCAATTCAAAAGCTTGGCTTTTCTTTTTGCTATTCATCTTTACTCCTGATAATACACAAGAATGATTCAAATGACCTGGATAAATTACTTTTGTTTTTAAACACCAGAGGGTGAGCATCCAGTAAAAAATACACGGTTTACAAAAATTATTGCAAAAACGAAATGAATTCTTCGCTCACGCATATAGGATGACCTAGGTTATTGAAGCAGAGAAAAATGAATAAAAACCTCATCTTATATGCGAGTAAATACGGTAATTATTTAAAAATATACATAAAACTAAATATAAATACTTTTTTACAGAATTTATGGGAAACATTTTGCTGTTCTAAAAATCACTCAGCTTAATCATCAAAACATATGGAGAACATTTTCTAAAAATATGATAAACAATGTTATTTTAACTTTTCCAAAAAAAATTATTAATTTTTTTTTCATATGTAATAAGTTGTGTATTGAAGCAACAATGAATCAAGATAAAAAGACAAGCATTCTTTTACCACCTGAATCTGTTAGAGGAATGAAGCAATTAAATCGTGATGCTTTCAGAAAAACTGTAGACGTTCCTTGTTTATCTGTTCCAAAAGAGAGTTCTTTAAAAATTCTTAAAATAGTGAAACCATATATTTTAAAATTGTTTAACTTCAAGAGTTTGCATGAAACAAATTGTGAAAATATAAAGTTTATATATATTAATCCTGACTTGATTAAATGTTTTAATGATTTTAAAGATATTGAAATAACTAAATTATTAGAAAATAAAATAAAAGAAGAAAATTTAACTTGGAAGAAACTAGATATTGGTTATGAAAATTGGAGACCTGATATTATTCTCAAAGCTGTATTGCCTCCTGATCTTCGTGTGACATCTTATAGTATAATTGGTCATATTTTACATTTAAATCTAAAAGAACCAGTGCTTGAATACAAAAATTTAATTGGAGAAGTCTTTTTGGATAAACTTCAGAATGTTAAAACAGTAGTTAACAAAACCAACACTATAGATTCTACCTTTAGATTCTTCACAATGGAAATTCTTAGTGGTGAAAATAATATGAATGTTTGTGTTAAAGAAAATGGTTGTATTTATAAATTTGATTTCTCAAAAGTTTATTGGAATCCTAGACTTTGTACAGAACATGAACGAATTATTTCAAAATTGGAATCTGGAAATTTCTTGTTTGATGTTTTTGCTGGTGTTGGTCCATTTGCAATACCTGCTGCAAAAAAGAAGTGTGAAGTATTTGCAAATGATCTTAATGTTCATAGTTTTGAATGGCTTAATATTAATGTACTAGCTAATAAAGTAGATTCTTGGATAAAAACATATAATATGGATGGAAGAAATTTTATTCATGAAGTAATTAAACCAAAAGTAAAAGAAATTTGGAAAAATAATAAATTATCAAAAATACATATTGTAATGAATCTTCCAGCTAGTGCAGCTGAATTTTTAAATGAGTTTATAGGATTCTATAGTGATTTAACAGATGACGAATATGGTGAAATGCCTTTTATCCATTGTTATTGCTTTATTAAAGATGCTGATAATTACAAAGAAGCAGCAAAACAAACAATAGAATTTTATTTACAATATCAGTTGAAAACTGATGTAGAAGTGACTTTTGTGAGAAATGTATCTCCAAATAAAGAAATGATGAGAGTATCATTTAAGTTGCCTAAAGAAGTCACATTACAAAGTAAAGATGATGAGCCAGCACAAAAGAAAATGTGTTTTTCAGAAAAATTACAAGAATAAATTTTTTGTTTTTAAATAAATAAATTAATTAAATTGTATTGATTTATTTGAAATTATTCTGTTTATATTAAAAAATAAATCTATAGTTTTGTGTAAAGTCACGTGATTGCTGGATTAAATATATAGCTATTGGGCTTAGAGATATATGCAAGTTTAAATTAATAATTCTCTCTCACATTCTTCTTAAGCAAATAAAGTATTCAGAATAATAATTTACCATATTTTTTGTATTTTTGAGATAAATAGTTTTCTTTAAATAATTTATACTTCAAACATTTTTTCTACTAAAGGATTTAAATCTTAATGAACGGAGCAAAAAACTTGATGTTTTTCAATGTTACCACACCGTAAAATGGTTCTATATGAGTAATTTTTTAAGTTGGTGTGGTGAATAGTTATTTAAACTTGATGTTATTAATTATTCTTCTAATCTGCTTTTATTATTATTTTAATATATTGTTTGCTTAAAATATTGATCTTAATGAATCATAATTTAATCACTGATGTAGTCTTTAAAGGTTATAATACTGAAAATACTTATGAATTTGTAAATGCCATGAAAGATACCTTTTAAAACTATCATTTTAGAATGCTTCTTTTAATAGTTTCATATAACAGATCAGTTTCTAATCTTTTGATGAGAAATGAGGGTTTTTGTTTTCAAGATTAAAAATATTTAGTTTTAATAATAAATTCAATATAAATGCCACAAATTTTATTTACTTGTAATTTATTAAACCTGAAATCAATGAATTACCAAAAACATCAAAATTAATAGACTGACTAATATTAATAGTTTAAAAAGTGATTTATTGTAAACATTTGCTAGCCAAACAGGTATTTGAAGCTAAAATCAGAGGGGGAAAAACAAAGGGACATCCTAGACAAAAGTGTATTGATAGAATTTAACTTTAGGCTAAAAACTTGTCTGTCAATAGAAGAGTTTGGAGAAAAGTAGTAGTGGTATAAAAGTTTTATTTTTCATGATCTGGGTATCAGCAGGAATGACTGATGGTGATAATTTGCTTAATTTTTCTGTAAGGCATTTTATGTAAACTACACTTGCACATTCCATTTATAATACAGATATAATTCATTTTCTAAAAACAGGTTTAGATAACACAGATTATTATGTAAATCTTACAAATTGAAATAAAAAGATTAATTTATGACTGTCTCACATTAATAAAATCTTTAAAAAATTGGATATAGCCACAAATTATTAAACCAATACAATTCTTATTATGTTAATATTTAAACAAAATAATAATGAATAAAAGTCGGAAAAATTTAGAAATTGATAAATTTTACTACTAGTATGTACAGTTTGAGACTTTTATTGTGGTGAATTTTACATTCTTAAATTGAAAAATAATTCATATGAAAAATAATTTTCTTAAAAATGAGATACAGTACTTAGATCTTGTATGAAATCAATGTTCAGAATCAAAAATTTAAGTTCCATTTCTGTATAAAACATATTGAAATGTCGGTTTGTGTAAGTAACATAAATACAGTATATAATGTTAATATTTTTGATTATTTTTTTAAATATTACAAACTTTATGCCTTCATTTGGTTTATCAGTTTTTAAGATGTGTTAAATATTTTATCACTTACTGAAAAACCTTATTGACAAATAAAAGTAATTTCATACTTTACACATGTAAAACTACTATAATTATATCAGTGCAGATACATAAGATAGATTAATCTCTTTGTTTATTGCTATAAAAGAAAAATATTTTTAAAGTATTATGTTATTGAAAAAAAACTGTGTTAATGTAATTACATAATAAATGCAATAAATAAACTATGTAATGTAAAATTCAACAATCATTTCCAATCTTACAAGATCTGCATCAGGTCAACAACATTCTAAATTGGAATGTGCAGAACCAATTTCAAAACTTTTTTAAATAATTGGAACAAAAAATACAGATGTAAAATATAAATTATATATGTAAAGATTTGGTGGCAATTTTAAGATGTATAGAATCTTTAGAAATATACAAGGCTGACCTGACAGGCAGTTGTATTGACTTTAGGGATGGAAAAAGCATCTCATACGCTTGGCAATGCTTTCATGAAAAACTGGGAAATACTGCCATGAATTAGTTGTTATTATTTTGTAGAGAAGCAAAAATTCAAGAGAGAGAGAGAGAGAGAGATTATAAATTTAGTATTAAAATTGTAATCTGTAAAACAGTAAGAAAAAAGTAAACAACAATTTTGTTTAAAATAGACTAGTTTTAAAGTGTATTATTATTGCTTAGGTTTATTTTTTAGCTTTATACTTACAACTATTCATATAAAGACAGAAATATATGCAGAAACACATCTTAACCCGGTGTGAGTGAGGGGGTATGTCATACCCGAGAAGATTTTAAATGCAGATTATTTAATGTTATTTTTGTCATGGAAATCCCGTCATCACAGTAGCTGGAGATAAGGGAGTAGGAGACGAGTGCAGTGTTGAGTTTAGTGTTGCGCCTGCGTCAGCGGGAGATACACATGAGCAAAGGTGACTGGGGTACGTCACACCCGACCTCATAGTCGGTGTTACATTTTTGAGTTGATAGTAAGTTTATGAGTTATAGTTATTTATAGTATTTTTAGATTTATTTCTAGATTTCTCAAATGATAGTCTTTGCATTAGACAAAAAAACACATCTTCCAAGGGAAACTCGAAAAGTGATTACTGATCAACTGGGAGAACCTTCATTATCTGTTTCCAAAAAAATGGCTAATAAATATGTCAGGTGTAGTGAGTGTACTAAAAAACAGATAGGAAAACAAAACATTGCTGTTCGAAGTGTGAAAAGCCAATATGTATGAAGCATGCGATTTTTATGTGTGGAGATTGTGTTGATTTGTAGGTGTAATGTTGGTGCTGTGCAAATTGATCTCATAAGAACTTTGTTTTTTTTCTATTTTTATAATTGAAAGATACTATAGTTATGTTGATTAACCAAAGAAGTAATTTTGTTAGAATTTTATACAAAAAAATGTTAAACTACCAAAACTTGTAGTTTTTCAAAGAAAATATAGACACTTTGTTATTTCAATTAAAAAAAATGCTTTTCAATCTTAAACATAATATTTTATTTACTCATCTTGTTGAATAGATACTATTTTTATTATCCCAAGTGAAAAAATACTTTTTACACAATTATAGTATAAAAAATTCTGCATTGAAGTTTCGGGTATATCCTACCCACCTCATAGCTGGTGTGACAATTTCTCATCTCATTCACGCCGGGTTAATAAAAAATGCAATATGTAAAGTGAGAACTCCACAGGTATAAAATATTTTGCAAAAAAACAAAATAGAATTGCCAGTTGTTTTATTTAT